TCTTATTCTTCTCTTTCTTCTCTCTCTCTCTCTCTCTCTCTCTCTCTCTCTCTCTCTTGCATTTATTAGCATCAAATTGAAAGTCCATTGGCTCTTCAGGATCGACTTTATCATGAAATTCTACAAGTATGTGGGTCTGAAAAAGTCACAGAGGAGCATTTGCCACAGATGCCGTATTTGAATGCTGTGTTCCATGAGGCTCTCAGACGACATTCTCCAGTCCCTATTATACCCCTCCGGTATGCCACTGAAGATACCCAGCTTGGAGGCTTCAACATTCAGGCAGGCTCTGAGGTGAGCATTTGGCTGACACTAGATTATGAATTTTCTTTATTTGGTCTTTCAACAACAACAATAAGCACAATGTCCCCAGTTATTTGGGTCGGCTTCTTGGACTTCTATCACTGTTGAGGCTTGTAAAGAATAATATCTTAGTTAGATTAAAATCATTTGACTATTGATAGTTTCCGATACTATTTCTCCCGTACCACTAGTATTGATTATCTCATATCGTCTCACTACAGAATTTATTTGGTCTTCACCGAGCTTAAACCATTACAGATAGCGATCAATCTTTATGCCTGCAACATGGACAAAATGCAATGGGAGGAACCCGAAGAATGGAAGCCTGAGAGATTCCTACGCGACAAGTTCGAGCAGACGGACATGCACAAGACCATGGCTTTCGGCGCAGGAAAGCGGGCATGCGCAGGAACACTGCAAGCGATGCTGATTTCTTGCGTGGCCATTGCGAGGTTCGTGCAAGAGTTCCAGTGGAGACTGAAGAAAGGAGAAGAAGCGAATGTTGCCACCGTTCAGCTCACAACTCACAAGCTCCAGCCTATGCAAGCACACATAACACCAAGAGAAGCAGATTCTGCAAGGCCTCAATCATCCTAGACTCAGATGAAGTTGCACGGACTGAGAAGCAAGTTCATCAGCATACTAGTCGATGTGTTATATGTTCTCTAAGATGTGTGTTTGGCATCAACTTTGAGCTTCCGACAACACTGCATCAATAAATTAAACTCTCGGTGCCGTGCTGTAAGCCTCCACTGACACTCTTAGCATTAGATGCCTCGTTCTTGTTGAGCTCCTCGTCCTAAATTGAGTTAGCTTACCTGTGCTTGAATTGGGTGTCACTGCTGCCTTTCTTGCCTGTCTTGCATCCATTGTCCACAATGATCCAATGAACTTCTCTGAGAGAGTCTCTACAGGCTCGCATTTTGTGGCCAGCGAGCTATTGTCCGGCCTGAGAGTAACTCTGGGTAGTCTCCAACTCTCAAAAGATTTCTGAGATACTTTGGGTAGTCTCTAACTCTCGAAAGATTTCTCCAGCAGAAAACAACAAACTCAAAACCTGTTTAATAATTAGAGTAATTTACCTAAAAAATTCATATTAATTAGCTTTTACTTAGCAAAAAATTATTAAGATTTTATTATTTACCTTTTTATTCTAATAAAAAATTTAAAATTTTACGTGAGTCGCTCCTCCTCCCATGCCTCGTTGAAAAAAAATAAAAATAAAAATAGATGGAGGAGCAACGAAGAAGGGGTCGTGGAAAAAGATAGCATATAGACGAAGAAAATAAATTGAGAAAAATAGTGAAAGTTTTTTTGAGCTAATTAGTGAAGGGCACTATTTGTTTAAAGCTAATTAGTGAAAGTTTTTTTGAGCAAATTGTTATAACAACTATAGAAAGTTTCTAAAGAGCATTTCATAAGACAATAAAAAAAAAAGGATAAAATTATGTTGACTTTTAGTTGAATTGAGTCACAAAAGTATATGAAATCCACTAAAACCTATCAACTTCCATGCTTGAATATGTTCCACGTGGAAGCTCCCATTGGGACCAACTCACTCCCTTTATTTTAGGCAAAAAGCATGCACATAGCTTATGAGATGCATACACGTGGACATAAACATGTTACTAATTTCCCTTATCAATCTTGTCACGTTTTAGAAAGAGTTATTTCGAATTTATTTTTCGTGAGACTAAATTCTACCCCATCCTTTTACAAGTTATAGTATCATGATTTTTAGCAAAATAGCATCCATGTAACATACCTCGACATCATTTCCTCCATTCTAAGTTTTGAATTGATATAAACATATATGATAAAGGACCATTTGGTCGGTCAATCATTCATGTGGCTCGTAAATTCATGAGAAATTATCCACCCATACGATTTTATCTTTTCGGAATATGTGAACTCTAAAAGGCACATGTGAGGATAAGAAAAACCTTACGGACTTATGAACCGTTAGTTTTCATACTCCTTAACTAATATTAGATTAAATAACCTTATCAAACCCCAAAAATTTACTACCATAATCCTAAATATATCAAATGAATTTTAGCTGTTTTTTATCCATATAAATTTATGTTTAACATATACATCTTTCTAACACCTAAACGCTTCCATATATGTATCAATGTAGTTAATTTATGTTAGCTAATTTACTTTTAGTTGAAATCATAATATCTAGTAATAGTTATTAAAAATATTATTATACTAAACATTATGTATTTTTTTTAATTTAAATAAATTATTATTGATCATGAACATCAATATATATTATATAACTATATTAAAGGGATAATATATGCTAAATAATATATCCATATATACCTCGAAAAATAAAATATAAAAAATGATTATTTCTGCCCATTATACCTCGTGGCAAAGAAGAGGGTACAAATACAAACCCAAGTCCGTGGGTCCCATCAGCGTCCGAACTCCCGACTCCCGTTTCGCCGAGGAGAGTCAGATTTTGGGTCTGTGTCGGGCGTTCCGATCGTTTTAGTCGGAGTCAATTAAAACTAAAATTCCCGATCTGTCCTCGCTGCTTCTGTGGGCTTCTCGTTCTTCCGTCGCTACTTTTCCCCGCAGTGAGGGCGTCTGGTTCTCTCTCTCTCTCGCAATGGCGAAGGCGAACCGTGAGGTCGTCGCAGCTCTTCTCCTCTCCTGCCTCTTGTACATCGTGCTGCCCTCCGCCCGCGCCTTCTACCTCCCCGGCGTAGCTCCTCGCGACTTCCAGAAGGTGATCACTTCCTGATCTGGCGAGGGTTTAGAATCTTTTGTGTGACATCTCGAGATCAGGGCTGATACTGTGTGTTTCTTCTTCCTTTCCTTGGATCTGCGCATCGCTTCTTCGATTCCCTTAAAATTTAATCTGGGGAGGGGGTTTTTATAGCTTGATTTGGCGAATCTGGTCTTAGGAACTTAACTGATCCAAAGGTTGGCCAGGGGATCTCCCTGCGTTTGGTACTTCTTTGGTCGCGAGGGTTAATAATGATGAGTAGTTGTTAGAAAAACGTGTGATACGTTCAATGGTTCACCTTTGGAGACGTCGCCTGTTAATCCATTGAGGTAGCAGAAAAAGTGTGATGCATCGAATATCTTGCCACTTTCTTGCGCCAACTTCCAATCAACTTACGCCTCTTTTATTTGCATATTTTGTTAGATTTTGTTCTTCAGAGTTCTCTGTTCATGATCTGCCAAAAAAACTTATGTTTCCTATTTGACAAAATGTTGTCAACCGTGATTTTCCTTTTTCGCCTTTTTGCCAGGATGATGAACTGCAAGTCAAAGTGAACAAACTCTCATCCACAAAAACGCAACTTCCTTATGATTATTATTTCTTGGATTACTGTAAGCCTCCCAAGATAATGAACAGCGCTGAGAATTTGGGGGAGGTCCTTCGTGGTGATCGCATTGAAAATTCTGTTTATGCAGTAAGTACCCGCTCTCTTTTCTGTTGGATAGACAACAAATACTTTGTAAAATGCCTATTTGAACTTTCATGTATTCTCAGAGCTTTGCTCACGACAACAATAGAATATTAAATAGAAATAAGCTAAGGTTTCTACTTGTCTAACCTTCTTTTTTTTTTTTTCCATTTGGTATGCATGATATCTGCAGTTTAAAATGAGAAGGGATGAAAGTTGCAAAGTAGCCTGTCTAATAAAACTTAGCTCTGAAGCTGCTAAGAACTTCAAGGAAAAAATTGATGATGAATATCGAGTGAACATGTAAGTTATTGGTCTGTTTTTGCTCTACTTGTAAGTTATCGAGTGAACGGTAATCCATCATAGTCCTAAAACCACTTTGTATATAGCTATTGCTATCTGGTAAATATTATGCTTAGTGTAATCTCCAGCTTCTTTGCATGGTTTTTGATACACATAATCATGTTTCTCTGATAACATATCATCCCCACGTTTGTTTTTCACTTTATAGGATCCTGGACAATCTTCCTGTCGCAGTTCCTAGGCTAAGAAGAGATGGCAGTCAAGATACAAGCTATGAACAAGGTTTTCATGTTGGATATAAAGTAAGTCACTTGTCACATTAGGTTGTGAACACCTAGCAGCTTGTTTAGTTAGTTGACATGCAGTGTTTGTGATCAGAGCAAGGATGGTAAATATTACCTTAGTAACCACCTCAGTTTCAAAGTCATGTACCATAAAGATCCAGAATCAGATGGTGCTCGTATTGTTGGTTTTGAGGTGATTCCAAGCAGGTACTGATATTTCATGCAGCTCTGCAGTCAAATTAGTTCTCCTTTTTAAGCAATGTCAAGCATTATGCTAACTTTGGTAGTAGTTGTTGTGGAACATGATCTTGCTGTAGAGTTAAACGTACCGCAGAAAGCAGTCGTCAGTATGGCTAAATTATTTGTCATTTGCCAAGTAATAATAAGTGACAACTACACAGCAGCAGCTCTGCCAAACTATGTTGTTACAATATTAGATATAAAACAAAACAAAAAACCATCCAAACAAGTGATGTTCTAGCAGTGTATTGTTAAATAGGATAGCCAAAAGATTTATCTCTGAGGTTCTGATCTTTGCAACATTATGTTGCTGTCTCATTTATTTTCAGCCCTTCAGCATTAACCATCTTATGGGTGTCTTCCAATTGCCTGCATTGCTTTAAAATTTTTGCTGCAGCGTAACCATTATTTTGTTTATTGAGTATCAGTAGCTTGTTTGGCCTGCAATTTGAAATTCTTTTCTATAGAGCATAACTAATAGCATAAAAGCATAAAATGAAAAGTTCTGATGCTGAAGTATATATTTTTATGATGTATTGGTTGGATTTGGCTATTTATGTTGATGGGTTCTACTTTGTTTTGGCATACCACAGTTCAAATATGAACTATTTCTTTCTTTTAAAGATTGCTATAGTTATTTGAATTTGAATTTTATTGGATTTCATAATAAATATTTCGATAAGCCTTCCTTTGGTGCTTTTATTCGGAGATTTTCTTATGTCAGATGCTGCTACAAACGTGGCTGTGCCTATACATCTGTTTGGAAGAAATAGTAAAACCTGTTGCACATTCCCCGTTATGTATCTGTAGTCTTGAGTCTCTACCTATATTTTAGTGTGTGTGACGTATCCCTCCAAAGTTAATGATATTTGTATGTGCCCCTCTAAGATTAAGTTAAGCACATAAAATTTAAAAAATTGCAGATGTGCCATTGTAGTTGGTCTCTTTGACATTCAACTAAGTGATGTTGAAACTCCAATTAACCCCTTTAAAAAAGTTTCCTATACATTCCTCTTAAATTAATATTTTTTTGTATTTGTCCTTCTATATTTAATTTTATATGACGAGGAATCAAATAAGTAAAAATGACAAGTCGTTAATCTTTATTTGATGGATGCTAATGGGAATAACTTATGGAGGATTAGAATATTAAAAGGATATATATGCAACATCTAAATATTCATAGGGATATATATGCTATACCAAAATCTGGAGGGGCAAATTTGCTATTTTCAAAAGTTTGAAGGGACAGATATGGAAAGCCCACCAAAGTTGTGTTGGCTGATGATAATGATGTCATCAATGGTATAGTGAAAGTTGTGTGTCACATATCAAAGGTGATGTTTGTATGTGAGTGGAATAGCACAAGTTAATATCTAAGGTGGATGTCCTTTCCTAAAATAGCATACAAGACAACAAATATGCATTGTTTGTACATAGTAGTCCTATTATAAAGTTACAAAAGGCATTAGTGGTTCACTATGGCCTAGGATGATGGATCATATTTCAGCAGTAGAAAAGTTCGATTATGGTGTTCACTTGTGAAAGAATTCTATTTGTTCATTTATATATTGGCCAATTGTTGTTCTAATTTTTTTTCTTCTATTTCTATGTCCATATCATGATCTATATGTCCATTTTATATTGTACATGTATCTCTTTCGCAGTGTTATTAGGATCCATATCAATTATAATTAACACAAGGCATTTTGTGAAAATTTTGGGTGAAGTTTGTGAAATCCTATGTTGCATTGATGTTCTCAACATCATTCATGTATTGAATAAGAAACCATCAAATTAGCTCATCCAAGCTGGTTATCTATGCTTTCAGTGGTCTTACACATTCTGTTCATCTATCTTTTCAGAATTAATTGATTCATAATAAGTTACTTTTTAATTTGCTCTTCCAAACAGTGTGAAGCATGAGTCTGGTAACTGGGATGATAAAAACCCCAAAGTTACTACATGCAACTCAGACACTAAAATAACTCCTGGAAGCAATGCACTCCAAGAAGTGGCTGCTGACACATATGTTGTATTCTCATATGATGTTACCTTTCAGGTGTGTACCTTCTTTTTCTGCACCTTCCTTTTCAAGTGTGTTCCTTACATCTGAGTTTGTCTGTTGCAGCCCAGCAATATCAAATGGGCCTCACGTTGGGACACTTACCTTCTCATGAATGATGATCAAATCCACTGGTTTTCTATTATCAACTCTTTAATGATAGTTCTGTTTCTGTCTGGCATGGTGGCCATGATTATGTTGAGGACCCTTTACAGAGATATAGCTAATTACAACCAGTTAGAGACTCAGGACGAAGCCCAGGAAGAAACAGGATGGAAGTTAGTCCATGGTGATGTCTTCAGACCGCCAGTGAACTCCGGGCTTCTTTGTGTTTATGTTGGAACCGGGGTTCAGTTCTTTGGAATGACTTTGGTCACTATGATTTTTGCATTACTAGGTTTTCTTTCCCCCTCCAACCGTGGGGGTTTGATGACTGCTATGGTTCTCCTGTGGGTATTCATGGGTCTCTTTGCCGGGTATTCTTCAGCCCGCCTTTATAAAATGTTCAAGGGTTCAGAATGGAAGAGGATCACCTTGAAAACTGCTTTTATGTTTCCTGGTATTGTCTTTGCCATTTTCTTTGTGCTGAATGCTCTTATCTGGGGGGAGAAATCATCTGGTGCAGTTCCCTTTGGGACAATGTTTGCCTTGGTGTTGCTATGGTTCGGCATATCTGTGCCCCTAGTATTTGTTGGCAGCTACATAGGCTACAAGAGGCCAGCTCTTGAGGATCCGGTGAAGACAAACAAGATCCCCAGGCAGATACCTGAGCAGGCTTGGTATATGCAACCAGCATTTTCTATACTGATCGGTGGGATACTCCCGTTTGGTGCTGTTTTTATTGAGCTCTTCTTCATCCTGACCTCAATATGGCTGAACCAGTTCTACTACATCTTCGGCTTCCTTTTCATAGTCTTCATCATCCTCATCGTGACCTGTGCTGAGATTACGATTGTGCTGTGCTACTTCCAGCTATGCAGTGAAGACTATCACTGGTGGTGGAGGGCATACTTGACTGCAGGTTCGTCTGCATTCTACCTCTTTGCATATTCAGCGTTCTATTTCTTCACAAAGTTGGAAATTACCAAAGTGGTTTCTGGAATCCTCTACTTTGGGTACATGTTGATCGGATCTTATGCGTTCTTCGTGTTGACCGGCACAATTGGCTTTTATGCCTGTTTCTGGTTTGTCCGCAAGATATATTCATCGGTAAAAATAGACTGATCAGGTCCCATTCATAAATTGGGAAGTCTCGAGATTTGGAGGGATGAGTTGGGCTTGAGATGATGAAAAGCTTTATTGCAACAACTGCAGATCAGACAACTTTGTAGCTTACTAGTTTATAAAGGCAAATATAGCATCATGTATTCTTCTTGTTTCTGTTTGATTTTGAACTGTTCTGTTATCTTTATCCGCCTGAATGTAACTTTTACTGAATATTGGATTAAACGCTTTTAAATCAAGCATCTTCTAGATAAGTTGTACGAAGTTAGGGAAGGATACAGCAGACATCCTGGTTTTAGCTGTTCATTCTTGCTGGTTTTTGGTTGAAGAATATCTTCCTTGGATGTGCAAGGGCTTGCTTGATCAGGCACGTACCAAACTAACTTAAAACCATCCAATAAATATGTCATATGACGAAGATGATGTAAGTATACTATCCCTACTTAGTCATCACAAATTCGTCCTCTAACGGGACACCTAATTGATCAAGGAAAGAAGTCTGGTCCATGTTATATCATCCTTAAATGAAGAGATATATATATATATCCAAATCGAATAAAGGTAATAAATTCGTAATTGCAATTGATTATTTTTCCATGCGAATCTATATTACCCCATCTTAAAGTCGATTAGACTTTGATGGATTGTGTCAGCGGTCCCTAATCACTACTGCATAAGCCTGCATCCGCTAACCTGTACTACGCTTCCCGGTCTGCTGGTCCTCGGAGCGATGACCATCTCTTATCGTGCTCCCAAGCCTGACGCCTGATTAAATATATAGCAACCGTCTTTCGCCTCTCTGCGTCCGTTCGGCCATTCCCAGTACTCAAATCGCGCGCCTTTTCGAGGAACTGGCCTTCCATATCCAGAGATCCGCCGCCGACGACGACAACGACAACGACGAAGGCGGCGGCCGCGGAGATCCACCTCCTTCTCTGCTTGCCTCAGAGGTTTCGCCCCTTCTTTCCTTTCTCTTTTCTCCTGCCTGCCTTGAGGTTGATCCGTATATGTTGCCGATACTTCCGTTAAATAGTTGTTACATAGGGCTCGGGTTTTGGGGGCCTGATTGGAAGGATGGACACCATTTTTTAGGATCAGGGATTTCTCAAAGTTAATCTGAGTCCATGCGGCTGATGGAATGAATGCATATAATTTCTTCTCCGTCTTTTAATTCTTGGTTTTAGTTAATTTCTTAATTAAAATTTATATATCCGACTTTCTACCCTGCAACAATTGTGACTTGAAGGCAAACCAACCCACCCTATAGGAGGATTAATACCACCGCTCCATACCTAATACCTATCATAAAAGTACCCGCATGGGAATTCATGCGAGTGATTTTGCCGCAAATACTGATTTCCTCTACTTCAGAATGAGGTTTCTCAAGTTCAACCTATAATTTTTTTTATACACCTAAAATATTTATGTAGTGGTGATATATTTACTTTAAAATCTAAAATGTTATCTTTTAAATTTTATCCGATTGATCATAATTTAAAGCTACTCAGAATTTGATTATTAATAATCAGATCCTAAAATTATTTATATATACATATAGCCTTGTAAGTGATATCTATGACGGAAGAGACTCATCTAATCGGAAGTCATTTTGAAGGAGTATGTTTGTCCCTCTTCTTAATACGCAGTAACCTTCAGGAAGTGGGTTTGATCGACTCATGACATAGATCAATGGTCAATTAAGACACACACAAAATAGGATATGATTTTGATTAGCGGATATCTAATTCTTACCAAGAAAGAAATGCAGATCCCTACGTTGAGCATGAAATTGAATGCTGGGCAGGGGCACTGTTGGGATGTAATTACAAATTACCTCATGTATGTAGTTATCTAGGATTATCTTTGTATTTTAGAAAATAGTATTGGGATCTTTACTAAAATAATTAACCTAAATTCTTTTCACATTATCAATTTCGACATGAATGAAAGGGTAAAAAAGGCGTAAATGAAAACGGTAAAAAAATAATTTCATAGATGGTAGACCATCGACAACGTTAGAGGCGCGCAAGGCCAATGACGTGTGAGGTCGACGCCCGGAGCTCCTTTAGAATACCACCCTTGTGCGTAAGCCTCACATCGTCTTTTTCCCATACCTCGTCACACATCGTAATAAGCGAACGCCCCAACTTGGCGTGCCTCCCGTCGATTCTATCACCAACCCAACTAGTAAAATTTGTACCGCAAGGTAGAGCGTAGCCACCTCCTCCGCCTCCAACTCCCACATCGCCAACAATGGAGTCCAGGTCAGCAATAGTAAGCGTGAGGTGAGTGCTAGAGGTGATGAAATTATACCACTCCCTTATACGATGGGACTCTAAGAGGGAGTCTTGCGATAGAGTGCAAGAGGCGCCTCCCGCTACCACATCCATCTCCAATGCGTGCAACATGATCGACGAGATCGAGAACCGCTCCATGCACCTTCTCACCGTAAGTCTTGTTTCCCTTTCCCCTTACACGTCATCGGTCTCTCATGCCACCGGCATTGTCGACGGTACGCATCATTGATGTTGTTGGTGGTCTACCGTCTGCATGGGAGGAAAGTAAATTTTTTTATAATTTTTTTTATTTTTTTCATGCATGATGAAATTAAGAGGATAATTAAAGTTAAATATTTTACTTTTATAAATATAATATTTTTAATACTATTTATTAAAGTATAAAGATTGAGATGTAAATCCTAAGTAATTATAGGGGTAAATATATAATTATTCCGACGTCGTGTAAGGTCGACACACGGATCTCCTTTGGAATACCAACCTTGTGTGTCGGCCTCGTGTCATTTTCTTCATGTACCTCGTCTTACATCACAATAAGCAAAGGCCCCAATTTAATGTGCCTCCCATCGATTCTAGCGTAGCCACCTCCCCCGCCTCCACCTCCCCCGCCCCAATTTAATGTGACAGTAAGCTTGAGGCAAGTGTCAAAGGTGGTGAAATTCTACCACTCCCTTGTGCGATGGGACTTCAGGAGGGAGATCGAGGACTGCTACGTGCACCTCCTCGCCGTACGTCTTGTTCCTCTTTCCCCTCGAACGTTGTCAATCCGACGTTACGTGCCATTGACGCCATTTGTGATCAACGGTAGTCTACCATCTACATAAGAGAAAAATAATATTTTATATAAAATTATTCTTTCATCCTTTTTATTCAAGACGAAATTAACGACATTCAAAAAATTGAAGTTAAATATTTCACTTTCATAAATATAGGATTCTCGATACTATTTTTTTAAGATATAAGAATCGAGATATAAATCCTAAGTAACTATAGGGATCAATATATAATTATTCCGACGCCGTTGTCATCTCTCTCTGCCTTAAATCTCGTGTAATAATAACACTGGTAAAGCGGCAAAAACATAATAAAAGGTGGTTGGGTACACCAAAGCCCTGACCGGCTCAGGTACACAAGAACCAAAACACTAACCACTAAGACCGGCACCGTCGTGCTATTTATACCGCGGTTCGACCGCATCCGTCCCACCCAAATCGCTGACCCGTCTCTGTGCGAAGGCGGGGCAGCGGCCGAGGTGGCGAGGCCCCTATTGTTCCGCTGCACGTGGCGGCGCAGCAGATACATCGACCTCTGTTTGTCTACGGCCGAGGTGCGCCGCTTTTCCTGTTCGTCGGTTCTCTTGCAAGGGATCCGCGTTTCCGTGAACGTAGCCCCGATCTTGGTGACACCGTTGGGCACTGTAGGCGGCAGCCCGAGAAAGGAGGTACTCTTTGCTAGCAAATCGAATTCTCGGGTCCGAGATTCAAGAATTGTCTTAGAAGAGAACTAACCCGGTACCACCTTCCCCTCTCTGCGCAGGGGAATGTTCCCGCGACCTCGATCATGCCAAAAGGAGGTCGATGTCATCTTTTATCGCTCCCCATCAGATCACAGAAACCAAATCGCAGGAAGAACATGGCGCGTGCCACCATCTCTTTCATCACACCAAGATCTTAAATCGCACAAAAGAACAATGAAACGAAGACCAGAATCGCAGTAAACAGATAGAACGAGAGATGGGAAAGGAGAAGAGAACGCATACGGAACGTCCTGACTCCTCGATCCGCCTAAATGTCATCGAGATCCCATAAGGAGGTCGATGTCATCAAGATTCACTCCCCCATCAAATCACAGAAACCAAATCACAAGAAGAACAGGGCAAGATCCACCTTCTCTTAACATCGTATCAAAACCCTAAATCACACAAAAGAACAACGAAAACCCGAATTCACAAGAAACGAGAAAACCCAATCGATCAAAACTTAGACGCAGAGATGAGGGGGAAGGAAGAAGAGAGAGGCTGACCAAGCAAGAGGCAGTCGGCGATCGTGCTCTCCACAGCAGGTATCGCTCGTCCTCCTCCATTAGCCGCCACCCCAAACGACATCTTTGTCCGTGCCATATACTTTTGACCTACCTTTTGATTTTATTTGGGATCAAGTCGAATACAGAATTAGATATTATTCACATTTAGGTTTATTGGATGACAATGGCAACCGATTGACTCTTCATATCAATTCGACTCGCTTTGAATTGATTTTGGTATCATTCAGTTGGATAGATATCCAAAGTCAAATCAAACACTAGTTTCAGCAGTTAAGACAAAATAGAGTCACTACCAACAAGAAAAAGGAAGTCACGTACACTCTTTACAGGATCAATCGGCGGTGGTGCAAGCAACGATCATCCTTTGGTATACATTCCTAATGCGTTTTGGATGGACCAGCTAAGTGTTCGATGTTAGAGAAGTCCAAGCAAGGTATTGCGGTGGTGGTGGTGGTGATCTTCCAAGTAGCTCTTAGTCTCGTCTCAAGCCCAGATCGCAAGGATCGACATGGATCCGGCGCCGACGAAGAGGGCGGCGTAGGACGCCACCTGAAGCTTCACACTGCTGCTCATCCTCCGGCCGAGGAAGTCGGCGGCTATCAGATCGACCAAGGCCATGTAGATCAGAATGCCCGCCGACACCGAGTCGAGCAGCCCCTCCACCACCAGCGCTCGTGGGCTGTTGGCGTTGAAGGACGACGCGACGCCGGCCCCCGCCGCGATCCCCGCCGGCGTCGTGATGGCGAAGAAGCACGCCATGAGAGCCGCAGCCAGGTGGTTGAACTGCGCCTGGTGTCGTCGCAGGTAGAATCCAGGCAAAGTTAAAGAGTGCAGAACGCAGAGACGAATGAAAGCAGTGGTAAGAGCCAAATGGCCACCTGGGAGATGCAGCCGCCCAAAGCAAAGCCTTCGAAGAACTGGTGGAAGGAGAGGGCTGCTACCAGTGGCCTTATGGTGCAGGGACTCCGGGAAACACCCAGCGAGAGGCCAATGATCACAGAGTGGGAGACGATTCCAAGCTCCAGAATCTAACCGCATCATTAACTCGACCATTATTCCATTAGCAAGGATAATGGGATAGATTTGGTGAATTAAGCATGCGAGATGCCCACCTGTGAAACGACCACGTGCCGCACGTGGTCTCCCTCTTCGTGGGCGTGTGCATGCGCGTGCCCGTGGCCATGGTCACGCGCGTGGCTGTGGCGGTGCGCCGCCGCATGAGCGTGCATTCCGACGATGTGCATCGGATCTTTCTCGCTACCCACGTCGGCGTCCGGAGCGCCAGAGACGACGACCGTGATTCCGAACTCCTCTTCGTCTGCCGACGTAGGTGCCACAGCTGCCGCTGCGGCAGCCTTCACGCCCGCAGCCTCTTCCCGGTGCTTCCGCTCGTAGAACTGGGTGGCCGCGAAGTCCAACACCAGCGTGCCGAGCGCCGCCGCCATAGCGACGAAGCCCGGGAAGGGGAAGCGCCGCCACGGCGAGATCGGGAGGCATGGGCTGGTGAGCGCGGACTGGGCGTCGTGGAGCATGTGCACGAACCCCGTGGCGAGGATGACGCCGGCAGCGAACGCCTTGGCGCAAATAAACACGCCCCCATCGGTCCGCAGCAGCCGCCGCTTCCGGCCCGCCAGGGGGATGGCCACACCCACCACCCCCGCCACAAGGATCGCCACGATCGCCACCAATTTCAGCGTCAGCGCTGCCGCGTCGTCCTGGCACTCGTCAGCCGCCTCCCCAGCGCAGCTCGCCGTCGACATCGACGCCGATACCGTTTCGTCGATCGCCACCACATGACAGAAAACACCTTTAATCACATGATCGAAACTCAAGAAACCAAGGAAAAAACAAGATTTTTACCGGAGAAGGCGTGCAAATGGTCGCGGAATCGATTGAGGAAATACCAAGGCTCGAGATCCTGCGAACGAATAAGTTCCAAATAATCATGTCGAGCACCGATCACAGGGAAAAGGAATAAGGTCGAATACCTCGAACAGTGACATTGCGTTGGATCGCTCTACCCGCTCGTCTCGGCTTTGGGTTTCGATAGACACAGCTCTAGAAGAGAGTAAAGTCGGTGTTATTGGGGATGCTGCAACTTTACGAGATGTCGTCATCCTAAGGAAGTAAAGGCCACTCCATGACGGGAACGGAAAGGGGTCACGCCGTGACGGTAACTGCGAGATCTGGGCGTTAATATGGTTGGATCGGACGGCTATCGACGTCGGATGTCTCAACGATGATCCGCTGACTTCCTTTTTGCCGTAGTGTGATCACCAACGGGGGATTCGAATCCGTCGGATTTGCCACGTGTCGTTGCAGGAGAACGCAGGTATCTGATGAGATAACGATGTCGACACAATGAGGACGTCACATCTCGGGTTGGCATGGAATCCTACTATAAGCAACACGCGAGGTCGCGTCACGGGTTGCGTCACGGGCGCTTTGTTCTGGAGTCGTCGATACGTGTGCCGTCGTGCACCCGCGCCCTCCTGCTAGACTACAGTGGGACCCTTCGTAACATCAGTAAGAAGCGAGGTAAGAGTAGTGGGTAATTTGAAAAGAAAAGGAAACGGTTCTGGGTAGTTGGCTATGCGAGGGGCGGTTCGTGTGTGTGACGGATCCGGATTACTACCCAAACCCGCAATAATATATATATACATATATGCAAAAGCCAACTATATATATATATATATATATATATATATATATATATATGCAAAAGCCAACTATAATTTGGCAAGTAAAAGAAACATGTCGACTGAGATGTGGTCAGGCTAATACCAGCTTCTACCTGCATAGCTGCTACAACCAGTAGTAATCTGAAGAAAGCAATCTGAGATAAGTGACAAAGTACAGAGCTGTGGTTCTATGTTACCTCATCTATTTCCATGAAGCTTCGATTGGACATGGCTATAAATGTGATAAAGCAGCAGGGTTTATACAAGCAGGGGAAGTTTGTGTCGAGCATCCCCAAGAAGCGTAGTGTAAAACGAATTGGTGGGTAATCAAAATGTGAAAGACCAAAACTAACCAATGGGGCAACGAAAAAAAAGAAAATTTTTGCAGACATGGATACGGTGGCTGACAGGTTAGGATACAGTATGAATGGTCAATGATGAGACTTTCCTGTGTAACTTTCCTCGGAGCTGCCTGATCTTGGCATCCACCCTTGCAGTGAAACCAATCTTGGTTTTCTGCCTTGCCTTGGACTTCTCTCTCTTCCACATATGCTGGTCTTCTACATCCTTCTTGTAGTGTTTGATTTCGTGGATCACATGGTTGTCCAGTGGATTGAAGGTTCTCTGGAAGGAGATGTGAACCAGATATGGAATGTTACAGACTGCAGTAACCAGAAGTGTGGCAGACCAGTAAACGGGTGCTGGTCCGAGGGCTTCCGAGAGTATTTGGTGGGAATTCCCGGAGATTGTTGGTGAAGACAATCCATAGGCAACCAAGAAGAGATACCACGCGACAACACTGCCCCACACAAAGAGATGCTGGATCCATGTGAAGTGGTTCATGATAAGGGCAATTTGCACATTGACAGCCCAGATAATGCAGGTGAACATGGTGGTGCCGACGGCAGCTAAATCAGCAGTCTGGCCACCGGCACAGAATGCTCCGTGGTAGAAGATTGCGATGTTGAGGAGAAATATGATGATGGACGCAGAGAGACCATTAAACATCCAACCGATAATCCTGTACCAACCGAAGAACAGGTCCCTTGGCCCTTGTTGATACAGTGCTGGAAACTGCAGAAGAAGATGATGATGATGATGAATCCAGTTTGTGTCATATAGGAACAAGACCATAAATGATGTGCATGACAAGAAGATTATGTAATGAAGACGTTAGACAAACAGAAGATTGGGCCACAGAAAAGAAAAAAAAAAAAAAGGAAGAACTAAGCCTCACTGATGGCGAATCTGTCTGACAAGTCAAAACATTACAATAATGAGATTGTATTTGGAAAAACAAAACTAATAAGAAAACATACCTGCAAGCATACTTCAGAAGAAACATCTTGCTCAAAGACTCCTAATGATATGACTGGCAATGAGGTCAGCACAACATTAAATAGTAGCATATACCAGTCGTCATACACTGACTGCCCCGAGAAGCCAGTATATGCCTCGAAGTAGAATATTGTCAGACCGAATGCGATGTTTTTATAGAAGAAGTAACAAATCTGAAAACAACCCAAAAAATATCAAGCTAGTAAACAGCGTAGTCATGCACATTTACATAGAGAACATAATAACTGCAAAAGCAAAAAATCAGTCGATCAATGGTTCTCACCATAAGTGCTATCCTCTTATAGCACCAGTGGCCATGTACAACAAGAAGCCGTTCAAGGAATCTGAACTGGGAAATGGAGAAATCACTAGCCATCACAGCCTGCAAGAATCGAAGTAGTCATGACCATATAGCAATTGGTTATCCAGTCATGCCAAGCATAAAGTGAGTCAGACATCTTAAAAGGTCAGAATTGAACAAATAATTGAGTTTTCAAGCAACTATTTCATCCTTTGCCAAACCTGCATCCCTTCTACACCACTAATGCCGACACCAATATCAGCCTCCTGAATCATGCCTACATCATTTGCACCATCACCTACAGCTAATGTAACTTTTCCTGTACCTTCTTTTACCAATCTAGTCACCTAGAGCAACAGATAAACTGTTATCAACTATAAAAATATGAAGGGTGGAGATTTTGGCACATCAAAGTACATTAGTCAAAAGATGACATATTGTACCATTGCTTTCTGCTTTGGGGAGACACGGCAACATATGACAGAAGCACAATCAACTGCTAGACTCAAAAACTGATTCTTTAAATCATCCTCCAGAGCATATGTTAGGGTTTTCCCATCAATTATTAAAGCAAAGGCTGCATCTGGGTCCTTCTCCAGCTTGATCATTTGGAAGGCATTTGTTATTTGCATCGAAAGGTTCTCTTTTGCTGCCTGATCAGTCATCAAATGTAAACGCACACCCTATCATAAAATCAAATTTCTGCATAGAACAAGATGAAGGGAAGTAATTGAATGCATATGATAAAGATGTACCTTGTTTGCATCATGTGTCAGTAGGTCAATGTTTGTGATGGATAAAGATATTTGTTTCATGCCTTGCCTAAGTAAACTGCAAGCAAATCTGCACAGAGAAGCGGTGTTCTGTATATCATTGATCGTGTAATTATAGCAAACAGTCAACCCATCAGTAACGATAGGTCTTCGGCTATGTGAATGGCTAGAGACGTACCCTATATTTATTGCAGTTTCAATCTTATCACCCGTCAGAACCCAGATCTTGAGACCAGCTTGCGCTAATTTGTCTATACACTGTGGAACCTGTGCAGTAGTTATCTGTCAAGAGAAGAAAAGAACAAGCAAATCGATAGTATAAAAGCAAGGGACAGAAGCTTACTCCTCTCTGTAATTTGTCTTCCACAGCAGTGGCACCAACAAGAATCAAATCCCTTTCCATCTTCTCAGAGACTCGCTCAACTTGAGCTTCCCTATCTGGTCCAATTGTAGTTTTTGCTTTTAGAAAATCAGTGTTCCAAGCAGAATACTCAGATTCATCAAGCATCCTATATGCCAGTGCTAATGTCCGCAAGCCTGCTTCGCCATATTCATTCAGATGCTTGCTTGTATCATTCTCGTACAGTCTTCCATTTTTTGACAGTCTATCAAAGATGATGCTGCACAAAAAAAGGAGCACCGAAGATGAGTAATAATTGAGGACATATTCATTCCACTTGCACTAAATGATTTGAGAACATAAACGGATAAAAAAATTCTCGCACCATGATAAAGATATATCAACAATCAAATGCATCAACCCCATCAAGTAAGACAACTAGTCACACATACCTGTCAGCACCTTTGCAAAGAAGAATGATCTGCCCACCCTCATCACGCACAATTACTGACATTCTCTTCCTTTTGCTGTTGAATTCCAACAGATTGAGGATCTTGAACTCCCTGTGGGATACTGAATGCTTAAGATGCCAAGAATTAACAATAGAGATAAATGATAACCTACTGATTAAAATATATAGATTGAGCTATGACCTCTCCACAGGGTCCTCGGAAGGAGAATATTTCTCCCTGATGAATACGCTAGACTGAGTCCTCTTACAGAATTCAAAGCCGAATTCCCTGGCTGCAACAAGAAATGCTCCTTCGTCGGGTGATTCTGCTTCATAGGTGAAACCACCAGTTTCCTTATTGTGCTCAGGAATTGCTGTTTGACACAAAGCAAGTATCCTGAAGAACATGAGAATGGTACTGGCAGCGGGCTCGTTTGTCCAGTTTCCATGCATTAGGCGATCATCTTCGAAACTGAAACCCTTTATGGCAGGCTTATGTGACTTCTCAACCATGCAAGTAATCCCATTTGCCAACTCAATCTCTGATGTCCCATAAAAACCCGCATTATCCTCCCCAAGTTCTTCAGTGTCATCATGATGCTCAGGAGAACCAGAGGCCTCCGATGCCAGCTGCTTTGCAGCAGCAATTTCCACTTCACTAGCACGTACACCATATGAAACTCCAGCTATGGAACACTTGAGAAAGTCCATCTGATTGCAAGTTAAAGTGCCTGTTTTGTCCGACAAAATTGTATCGACTTGCCCAAGTTCCTCATTTAAGTTTGAAGTCCGAGCTCGTGCAGGTTTTCCTATCTCCTCATCATACATGAGAACGTCTTGATTGATGAATGTCGCTTGCAAGACCTTGACGACTTCGATAGAAACATAGAGTGAAATAGGTATTAGGTATCCATAAAGAATAAGGGCTGTGACCATATGAAAAACACCAGATAACACTGGCTTTGAAGGATCATACAAGCTTGTTGTATTATTTGGTTCCAAGAACCACCAATTCGGCATATCATATTTTGTCATCACAGCAAACCCTATGGAGCTAACCAGTGAAATGAGTACGAGAACAGTAAAGAGGATGTATATAATCTTATCCATTTTCTTCTCAATTCTGCTTCTCTTGGATGGTGATTCTGTCGCATTCTGCATAACTTTGCTGTCATGACCAGTGAAGATAACCACTCCATATATATAGCTAGTGTTCCTAAGCTTTGAATCTCTGAGCAGAACCTGATTTGGATCAAGTGCATAGACTTGTCTTTCATACTCAAGGTTACCCACAAAAGTGTAGAGATTAGGATTCGGGTCTTCACATCTTAGGGTGGCTGTAAAATCCCTGAAAGCCTCATCATCTTCCAAAGCCAGCGTTACCTCCAGCGACCTCTTGACCTTCAAATTCGTCTCACCATCCAAATTCATAGTCTCCACATAGCATATCCCATCTTCATAGCTTGACGAAAGTAGAAGCAAGTCAGCCGGAAAGAACCGGTCTTTCTCGACCTTGACAACATCTCCAACCCGAATCTTCTGCCAAGGTTTGTAACCAAACTGCCCCTGCCCGTTGTGGACGCTAACCTTCCGGCTGTTGACTTTCATGTCCTGATAAAATCTCCGCCAATCTTCCAGTGCCTCTTTCGCCATACTGAGGCCGACAACAAAGGCCAGAGGCGCGATCATGCTCATGGGGTTGAATGGGGACACAGGGGTGATGGAGATGATGGCAGCGAGGAGAAAATAGATATTGGCTACACGACGGAATTGCTCAAATAGCGCCTTGGGGAGGAAGGTAATGGCATTGTACCTCGTGGTGGAGATATAATTGCTTGAGTAATCGAGGGGCTTCTTGCCGTGGAGTTGGGATTGGTTGCAGTGGACAATGCGGGAGTAACCGGGACCTTGGAGGAAGGGGGTTTGCTCATCATCCGCTAACACGGCCGGGCGGGCACAGGCGAAAGTATAAAGCAGGCTCCAGCGGAGCCGATCCCTTTTCCTTACTCGCCGTGCCATCGCTCCCCTCGTTCGACTTCCTTTAAGCTCAGGCTACAGACAAGCACGAAGCATCCCCCGTCATAACAGAGTTGGAAACTTTCTCTCTAATCTACAACACAATGCGTGTAATGTTTATGGGTTGACAAGATTCCAGATATTTATCTGAAAGTTACAACAATTATGGAATTAATATCGACTCAGAGCTCCGCCCTATTCATTATAATGACGCCGAAAAAGATCGATTTCGTGTATCCTATCAAAATTCCTGTCGTTGAACGGCAAATGGGGAAGCATTAAGTGTTCGGGTGCCCTAACGCTAACTGAGCCTCGACAACCAGGATAACGAGAAGAATAAACAGATATTGCAGCTCGAACCGCAGACCTAATCGCAGGAAACTCAAAGGAAGACGGAATCGGCGACGGTATTACTTTTAGATCCGCAGAGTAGACGAAGAACTCGCCGAGGGATGGCTTCATCCGTGTTTGGCCAACCAAAATCACAAAAACAATCCCACAAAGCAAGAACCGAATCGGGACCACGAGCGAGGAAGCCAAGATCGACGACTCGGCCGGACGCAAAAGGGAAAAGATTTGACGCACCTGGAACCGATGCCCAAGCCCCTCCGGAATGCCAACTCTACAGGGACCAGCCACCGCCCGATAGGCGTCGGAGATCGCGCCCGACGAAGACCTCCTCCTCGACGATGTAGCGACCGCCAAAGCAAGAGACTAGAGGAGAGGGGACGAGAGAGAGATGGGAGGCTCTCCCTGCCTCTCCCTCCGTCTCTCGCTTTCTCCCTCTCTCTCCAGACGCAACGCGAGGATTTCCCGGACTTCGCACATCGCCCTCAAATTTTGCCTCTGCTATTATATCTTTTTTTTTCCCAGGTATTATTAAGCGGAGTTAAATTGTTCGTTCAAAACGAGATTAACGGAACCTAAGCTCGTAACTTTTAGCTGGACCGCAGAGCAGATGCGGCCACGCTCGAACCTTACGCAACTCCCCCACCCCGTCGATCGTCGAGGGGGTCCCATTCACGCGGAGCACCATTCACCTCCCACTCGTCGCAGGGTAGCGACGGTACGGCCGAGGAGGAGTGGGCGGGGGGTTTTCCTCGAAGACACGTCGGCACCCACTTCTCCCTCGGTCGGTGCCACGCGTAAGGACGCGGTCGCTCTTGCACGGTGCTGTAGGGGGTGGCGGTCCGGCTTGCGGACAGGATCCAGTACAAGGCGACAGCGCAGGTGCGTCTATTCCGTGGAACAGGATCCAGTACAGGACAACGAGGACAGCAAGTTGATGTCAAACTTATCATCTACCCTCTTTCTTACCTGCCTTATGATTGGGCGATAATTTTTGTGCCCCACGGGTACTTTGAACTCGAAGGCCGGTCGGAAAACGAGTAAGAAGTACAGGTGTGCGGTTGCTTTTTTGTTCATTCATTAATTTAGGGAAAATGACAGTCATGTGGGCTAATTTTTGAGTGGTTTCCTAATACGTGTCACTCTTACCGCCTGGTTATTGTAATTAAGCTTAATTAGGAGAGAGCATAATGTTGATGTAAGAAACTCTAAACTTGGAGCAATTGAAATATATAAATAAAATCATATCTACTAATGTATATATCCATGATATATTTATTGCAGGTTCATCTGATAGGATTAGCTCCTCCTTAAAATATAAATAAGATCATGATTATATAAGCATAAATTTCAGAAGTTGGTGGTGATGTTGTGACAAGATGATTACATCAAAAATTAAAAGTTATTATTTATGTGATTGAGTGATATTCATGAATGACACATCAGCAAATGAAATAAGTGATTTTCATGTGTCAATCAAATTATTTTTAAATATAAAAAATTATTTTCTAAAACACAAAGCATAAAAAAATTTATCCCTGCATTACAATATTATGATAGAAAAGAAAATAAAACTATAGATGAGTGTCATCACCCAAAAAATTTGTTCTATAGATTAATAATCCTCAATCCAAATTGAGAGATTTATAATTCTGTTCGATTAAAAAATTATCTTTAGTCTTCATTTTTTTTTTTTTTTTTTTTTTGCACATCGCAATCGTATGAAAGTCACGAAATCATTGAATAATTATACGAAAGTCACAAAATCATTGAAATGATTAGCTTTCATATCGATACGTTAACATCATATGTTGGATAACAACTTAATCATAGAAATTTTGCAAGGTTTTTTTATTATTTTTTATTACAAATATAGAACTTTTAAAGTAATCAAGTGAGTATCTCAAAAAATTGATAAAAACATAACGTAACATCGTACTCTTAGTTCTACCCATATTCTATATACATGACTAAAGTAGGATGTTAAATTTTCTTTACCGTTATCAATAGAGGTGCAGCAAAAACTAATTAATTTAAAAATTAAAACATACTAACTTACTAAACAAAATATTAAGATTTTCTTTGTATGTAATATTTTTTGACACATATACATAATTATAACCTCTAATAAAAAAAACAATCACACGATTAATATGTTCAAAATTTATACGTATAAAATATCCATGTATTATTGTTCATATATGCGTACTGAAATAATATATATACATTATTTGTGTTTTTATTGTCATGTTAGGTTATTTGTCATCATACATCAGATTTGAATAATATTATCTGTTAAATACTTATTGTTGGCTAAACTTTATTGAAGAGATTGATGAATCAAACGCACTCATTCTTAGCTCCCTCCTAATGCGCTCATTCGTCTTATGATTTGAATCTCATTTGGTGTTTCCACTTACTTTCGATCGATATCATGTCCGATTACTCATCGACAGAGAAAACTTTGAGAGCACACAAAGAATATAAATTAAAGAGTTAGAAATATAGGATACTTATAATAAAGTAATAGATCTTTCCAAAGCTCAATCTTTCATCCTTGGAGTAAGATGAGCACCGTCAAAGCCGCAGGCATGACTTTAATGGAGATGGCCGGCTATCAATGCATTCGGTACCAAGTTACAGTGGAAGTGATCGAGAGAGACGGGCGATGCTTCTCCAAACCTGCGTGGAAATGGCAGCTCGATCCTCTCAAGCTGAAATTTGTAGTTTATTGCAGAATTATTTAGAATTTACTCCCATCTCTCTCTCTCTCTCTCTCTCTCTCATGACATGCATGAACCTGTGGCCTGTTTTTCCCGTGAGAGAAAAAGGAAAGGAACTGTGGGCAATGGAAAGCTAGTTGACTGGAGGACACAGCCCCTTTCTGGAGGTCCCTTTTCCTCTCCTCACCTTTGTTATCCTCCTTTGAAGGTTTGATAGGAAGATAGAGTCGAATAAAGATTTTAAGCCTTTTTCGATAATAAGTTTTGGTATTAAAATCAGCTCCAAATAATATTTAATAGTTAGAATCATACAATCTTACATTCATTTAATATTTAGATCGGATGATGATGATGCCAAATCAAATCGGAAGAAACGCGAGCCCCATCAGAGCCCTCGGTGGGTCCCGGGATTAGACAACACAGAACGAGTGAGGTACGAAGGTGGCTGCGAACGCGTGGTACACGCGCTGAATGGATGGATAGGATGATGGGCCCCAAACAAAACAAGGGGCGTCGCGAGGTAAGCATTAGCTGCCTGTCGGCCCCACATCTTTCCTTTTCGACCTAATCTCCTTTTATTAATCGCGTCGATTCTTACTAATCCCTCTCCTAATCACTAAACAAAAGCAAAATTACTTTTCATCGATCAATATAATATTACCTCAAAAAGTCGCCTCAGGTGTTCTTCCTCCCCCCCCCCTCCCGCCCGTTGACCTCCTCAACTCGCTCTTTGGGCACGCTGCAAGAGAATAAATCTGCGTCGGAGGATTGAAAGGTTAAGTTGACGAATCGACGATGTCTAGATGATGTGACACTGTCTTGGTGCTTGTGAGTTGCTCCTCGTGATCCAGCTCAATTACCGTGACGACGTTTATAGCTAATGCAGTCGCTTGCCTACCAACTCTGTAGTTGCTTAGGCTTGATTGACCTTTACGCGATCCGTCTCTGTAAGAGGAGATGTAGCATTTGGATACTGTTCTTCTTCTTCTTCTTCTTCTTCCACACGTGCGCATCATGCATGATCGATCGAACATTAGAGGAGTACTTGGAGATGGAGCGACGCCTTCTCTTCGGTCAATCATCACCATAAAGTCAAACTGCCTTCCGTTTGCTGTATCGGAACCCAAAGCCGACGTTTCCTGCCATCGTAATCTCGTGTAGATCTCCTCCCCCTTCTGTAACGCGCGCGACGTATCCCGAGTATATGCCGGCACGCCGTTGGACGACGGCGGTACAACGGTGGGACATGGAACCCAGCTACCTCACGGCCGCCACCGCCTTCTCGGGCTCCGACAACAGCAGCTGCGTGCACTTCTCCGGCGATGCGGCGGCTGCTGCAGCTCCGGACTCCGCCCCGCCCGCGGCGGAGGTCGAGGGACTCCGTCGCCTGTCGGACCACCTCGGCTCCGCCTTCCAGTCGCCGGACTTCGAGTTCCTCGCCGACGCCCGCATCGCGGTCGGGCCCCCAGGGGACGGCGGGTCAGCGCCGCGCGAGGTCGCGGTACACCGCTGCGTGCTATCCGCCCGGAGCATCGTATTCCGGGAGGAATTCGCGAGGCGGGGGAGGGGAACGGCCGCGGCCCCGGTGAGGATGGAGCTGAAGGAGCTGGTAAAGGACTTCGAGGTCGGGTACGACGCCTTGGTGGCGATGCTCGGGTACCTCTACACCGGGAGGGTGGCGCCGCTGCCCAAGGCGGTGTGCGCCTGCGTCGACGAGGAGTGCCGGCACGACGCGTGCCGGCCGGCGGTCGATTTCATGGCCGAAGTGCTCTACGCCTCCTCCGTCTTCCAAATCGCCGAGCTGGTCAGCCTCTTCCAGGTGTGTTAAATGGAATGCTCAAGTCTATCTCCGTCATGCCATCTTGCTGTTCTCTCTCAAACTTCTTGAGGTTTTGGGTGGGTATATGAGCATGGATTGCAACCAGCAAGATGGGATCTTTGAGGTCTGATTGATACACAAGCAACATAGATATTTCTACTACTGGTCAGCTAATGTTGGAGGTCTCGTGGCGAGTCATCTCTTTGTACCAAATTTCTCATCTCTCGATTCTTTTAGAGATGCATTCTTCGATTTCTTTTGTCATAGTAAGCAAAAAAGTAATCTTTGAGGTATTATAGTAAATCCTCCTTTCATGTTTATTTCAACAGGAATTAAACACCTTATTTAGAAGTTTAATTTTCCATGATGAGAGCCAATTTGACTTTGAATTGTGTCATGTAGATACCATGATTAAAAATAGAAGGCCAGGAATGATGATGTTATTCTGAACAAGAACAAGAGTGTATAAATATCTGGGTTTACGATCTTCATTCCTATCGGATGTGCTCTTTCTATTATCATGTCTTTACTGTTGTTGTTATCAGCTTATGTTTGCGGCCGCATGGAAGCAAATTTCACATGGCCGAGTACACAAAAGGCGCAGATCGATGCTTGCGGCTTTCACCAATGTAGTACTAACCTTATCCTTCCGAATAGAGAGTCAAGAAAGATGAAGTGCATAACTACAATTTTTGCAACATATATAACCACCTCACATGTAGCGACTCCTTAGTTTGGTATCCCGTAGTTGACTTATGCCTTCGCATAGTTACCTTCTTAAACAGAGGAAAAATTGTTGTGCCATTCTTTACGTCTTTTGGGTTAGTGTTTTTGTTTTTTCTTGTATTCTTAAAGCACAAACTTATTCATTACAGGATTAAAACTTACTATAAGTTTTTATCTAGATATGTGAAGTTTCCGTTATCGGTTTTTTCTTCATGTATGCTTATCGTCATTGTTTTCTTGAAATGCCGGTTAACCATCAATTGTTTAATTGCAGCGGCACCTCCTTGGTATTCTGGACAAGATGGCAATAGACGACATACCAGTAATTCTCTCTGTTGCTAAACTATGCGATAGCTCATGCGCCAATCTGCTCAGCAAATGTATAGACGTTGTAGTCAAGTCAGACCTAGATACCATCACCCTAGAGAAGAAGACGCCTCCTGATATTGTTAAGCAAATTATGGATTTACGCTTGAATTTTGGGCTAGTGGGATCTGAAAGCAGCAGCTTTCCTGATAAACACGTCAAGAGAATACATAGAGCTCTTGACAGTGATGATGTTGACTTAGTAAGAATGCTATTAAAGGAGGGGAATACAACGCTAGATGATGCATGTGCATTGCATTATGCGGTAGCATATTGTGATTCAAAAATCACAACAGAGCTGTTAGATCTTGCACTGGCAGATGTTAACCATAGAGACTTCAGAGGTTATACTGTGCTTCACATAGCTGCAATGCGTAAAGAACCTAAGATCATCGTGTCACTTCTGACAAAGGGAGCCAGACCATCTGATCTTACATTGGATGGAAGGAAAGCACTTCAGATTGCAAAGAGACTTACCAAGTCTGTGGAGTACCTCAGGTCGATTGAAGAAGGAGAAGCATCTCCTAAGAGTCGTTTGTGCATTGAGATATTAGAGCAAGCTGAAAGAAGAGATCCACAAGTAGGTGAAGCTTCCGTATCACTTGCAATGGCTGGTGATGACTTGCGGGGAAGATTGTTGTATCTTGAGAATCGAGGTAATTCCATCAGGTCCCTAGTTAATCCTTCTTTTGATTTTGATCTAATTGTACAGTTCTTTTTCCACCATTTTGCAAGGTTGATCATATATCACTAGTTTTTATTTTTTTTCCCCTTTTCGCAAATTAGCTTGTGTCGTACTTTTGTCCACTCCTAATCAGCTAATACATAAGTGGCCTTTATGTGTTTGAATCGTCATTTGTTTTGTGTGCCCGTTGACTGTGGAAGAGTGGAGTTTGACCCCTGTAAGTCTTGTTTTTCCAATCATCGTATGCTATTCTTTTTTTTATTAAATCTTCATTACCTTTCCTACATAGGTAATTTTGTATATATAAAGTAACAAATGTCAGTCACACAAAGGATATATTAAACAGGAGGTCAGAGAGACCTCCAATAATCATACTTTATGATTTAGGCTGCATATAAATAGACCCCTTGGAAATCCTTCATTGGCGGGAGCCCGGTTCTCTAGACTGCCCATTTATATATTAAGTTTCTGGTGTGTTCTAAAGAAATTAAGAGATCAAATCTGCTGAAACTTCAGTGTGATTTTTATTTATTCGAGAAGTATTTAATTGTTCAAGTGTTTTCCTTAGTCATTGAATCCTGATCCAATTCCAAATCGATTCATTAATATCATTTTTCTCCTGTGCCCTTATATCTTTTGCTTATGTCTCTTGGCTGCTTCGGATGCTTTCATATGTGCCGAAATCTACTTCTTAATGTTATATCTCCGTAATGCTCTGTTTAATTCAAAGGTCCTGAATAATACAAAGATCAGTTAGTTGTATAAATTTCATATTTCTTTATACTGATGTTTTTAGTGTTTCTAAAGACTTTGGCCTTCGAAGATGCAGTTACCTCAATTGCATGTATAACTTATTGCCTTGTTTTGTTCTATGCCATCTTCTTCTTGCTGCTGTAATGTTTCTTTTTCCTGTTGTTACTACTCAAGCATCTGATGATCATCTTATGGTTATTAGTTTGAAACTTTTGAGATACATCAAGTGAGCCTTGTAAAAGTTCAGCATATTCATGCTGTTGCGAAGCTACAATATTTCTATTTCAAACCTATACAAGCAGGCTTGCAGTTGGCTATCCAACTTACTAAGTTCAAATCTTGAGTTAGAGCTGTTAAACAAAAATTATAGGATCTGTTAAAAATTTATATACTCTTTATCTTGGGTTTATGTACACCTCTATTTCCTCATTGTTTATTCTTCTAAGCAAAGTTCAGTTCAGAATGTTGTAATGGGAAACAAGAGCGCTTCCGATGTCCAAGTTCTTTGTCTCTATTCAAAGATGCTCGTAAGTAATCATGCATTATGTGATTCAAAGCTTTCGATTTTTTAGTCTTGTACGTGTTTCTGCAGAATTTTTTCTTATTGCATATATTAGCATATTTTCAGCAAAGATTTGATGCCAATTAACAATCTTCTGCATCCACTGTTAAAACGTCGCCCAATTCCTTGGTTTGTTTCAACTGATTTTTATAAAAAGATTGCAAGAAATTCTTTAGGCTAAGGAGAATACTAATTTTTTGGAGGAGAAACTAGTCGCCTTTTGGAAATGGTCTGAAAAGAAAACTTCTAAATATGTCAAAATCCTGACAGAAACGGTAACTAGTTACTCCATACTGGATGACTTCACAACAAGGAGAATACCAGAATATTATATTTTGTTATTTTACGCATAACTTTTTTCTAATTTCTTTTATGTTTTGCATTATCGTGCAGTTGCTCTGGCAAGACTATTGTTCCCCATGGAGGCAAGAGTTGCTATGGACATTGCACAAGTTGATGGCACATCGGAGTTCACCTTAGGGTCTACCAGCAACCGTTCTACTGGAAATCAAAGGACTGCGATGGATCTAAACGAAGCACCATTCAAGATCAAGGAAGAGCATCTGGCACGAATGAGAGCACTTTCCAGAACAGGTATTTTCTTAAGCTTTTCTTTCCATTTTCAGTGCTTTCTTGCGCTTGATCCTCAAGAGAAAAAATATATTTATATCAGGAAATGATAATTTGAAAAATAATATATACAATCACACTAGTAGTTACAGTTCCATTCATTTTTTTGCTGGCTATGTAGAATTAGGCAATCCGGTGGAGGAGGTGAAACATATAGATGATGTAAGATGGGCACTAAATGCTAAGTGAAATTCTCGATTCATCATTTCACACTTTTTAACTTTCGTATCGTCGTAGCTAGCTAATCATGCAGTAGACAGCCTTTGGGTTATTCGTGCTCGATTCAACCAGCTGCTCTGTTGGTGATGTTGCACTCTGTACTATTCAACTCATGAAATCGATGATGGCATGTCACAGTGGAACTTGGGAAGCGCTTTTTCCCTCGGTGCTCAGAGGTCATCAACAAGATCATGGACGACGATCTCACAGAAATCACTGGCCTCGGACACCACACTTCGGAGGAGAAGAGGAGGAGATTTCAGGAGCTGCAGGAAGTCCTGTCAAAAGCATTTAGCCAAGACAAGGAGGAATTCGACAGGTCTGCCTTGTCTTCCTCATCCTCATCCTCATCGTCATCTACATCCATCGACAAGGTTTGCCCGAACAAGAAGATGAGATGATTCCCACCTAGTCGATTCTATACTTTGTACGCTGATTATGGTTTCTTCGTGCCAAAACATGTTTGCTTCGTCTCTCTGAGTTGTTGCCTCTCATAGAACCATGACACACCACTAGATCATGCTGTAACATGTGTTATATAACTCTTTGTCTAATATTACTGATTTGTGTTATTTACAAAGGTATTATGAACATCATAATATTAATGCAAAGCAGCTTGGATAGGCTACTGTTTCAGTATGATCATCCGTGGCTTCCATTGGAATGCAGAATCAAGTACTGGGTTTTATTTATTGTTTTATTTATATTTTACTGAAAACCTCTCCTTTTTTTCCTTAATTTTGACTTTTGTTAGATCAATTTGAGTCAGATTGATGATGACTAACACGCATGAGATTAAACATTAAGTCAACTACAACTAAGTTGATGAGGAGGAAGAAACTGTTGCAGTTGAAGTCTCCACATCAAAGAAGAGGTCAAAGAAAACAGCAAAAGAAGTCAGCTATGACTTGCAGCAAAAGTCAACTGTAGACACCACAAAGCACGACTATCAACTGTAGATTCCAGGAATATCCACAGCTAAAAAGGTTCCAACTTTCTTACAATGGTGGACTCAACAAACGCAGGATATATAACTGAAATCACACTTAGATTCTATCAATATCTCCAACTATATTTTAGACTAACTAATAATGTCATCATGTCTACATGCACTGAGATACGTGCACGAGGAAGATACCACAGTGTTAAGGGTTCGAGTTCATGTAATCCATCTGAATCACCAAATCCTTCATGTCCTCTTCCCATTCCAATTGCTCTGCAGCCGATTCCAGATCCTCCGCCTCCGCCTCCACCTCGGAGTGCTCTCCTTCTTCTTCGTCACCCTCCATCAGGATGCTCTCGTTGAGTAGTTCTTCCCATGTCAGATCGCTGATGGCGGCCGTGCTCTGATCGACTGGTTCCGGCGTCGCTCCGTCGGTCTCCGTTGAAGACAAGGACACACTGTCAATCTCCGAGCTGATGGCGAGTTCCAGGAGGTCCTTTGAGCTTGGGTTCGCCGGCAATCTTCTCTTCTTACCTGCGCCGCCAAGCTGCCTCTGCTGCTGCCCTCGCAGCACGAGCTCGCGGATGAAGGTGGGGCTCTTGAGCGCCCGCGCCAAGAAGGCCATCGTCCGCTGCTGCCTCCTCTCGGTGCCTTGCATCCGCCGCTCCATCTCGACGAGCTGCGCCCGAGAGCTCTGTTGCCGCTGCCGCAGCTTCACGATCTCCAGCATCATCACGTTGCGGTCCCTCCTCAGCCTATCCGCCTCGGCCTCGAGCCCGAACATCCCCAGTTCGACGCAAGCACCACTGCCGTGCTGCTGGCGCGAGCTCTGGGCGACGCCGCGCCGACGCTTGATGTTCTTAAGGAGGTGCTTACGTCCGCCCAAGAAGTCGGCGTTCGCGAACTCCCACCGGTCCGGATCGACCTTCCGAAACCCCTGCATCCGTCAGAGCCACCACCAAATCCCACAAATACTTAGCGACAAGTGAAGATTTTTAATCGAACCTGCCATGTCTCATCCCATTCCGTCTCGATTTCAATCAAACCAGTGAAAATCCACATTATCTTTACATTGTTCTGAGAATTCTTTTCGTCGAGGCACGACCTTTACCAATATCCCAAACTCTTGCTTTGGATCGTGGCGCTTCGAGATCAGCAGGACATAAAGACGGAATACAAGATTCAGGGGGAGCGGAGCTTACGTAGGTATTGAGCTGCCGAACGAAGCTGGAGAAGTTGCTGTGCTTGAAGTATTTGGGCAAAAGGGCGATGGCGAACTTGTGGGAATCCCAGACGATGAAGCTGTTCCGGGCGCGGCTCCACGACACCACCGCGTCCGTCTCAGGGTCCTCCACCATATCGAACGTCTTCGACAGGAACGGCGTCGGGCCGACCTCGTCGAGCCCCGTCAGCGGTTGCGGCGCCGCCATCGCCTCCCCTTCCTCCTCCTCCTCCTCCTTCACCATCAACACCGCATTCTCCATGGGTCGCCAATCTGGAACCAGAACCCTTCTTCTTCTCCTGTCCTCCGTCGGAGTGAGGAGTGAGCACCAGCGAAGAAGGGGCGGGCGCGATTGAAAGGGAGGCGGATAGAAGTTTCTGGAAAGAGGGAACAAGAGCGGCGAACGGATGGGCCGTCTCGGCCCCTCCAGGCAACACGCGAAGCGACCCTGTTCTCTGTCGCCACATTCCGTCTTCCACCACCTGGCTTCCAGAAGCTTCCGTCGTCCGAATGCGATCCCATCCCGAGGCACTGCGGAGAGCGATCATAGCCGTCCACTTGGACGAGACGATGGCATCCTACAGCAGAGGCCTCGGGATCGACGGGTTCGCGGTGGCGCGACCGTTGATTTCTTTTCTTCTCGCGCCTACGCGTGCGGAGATCGACTGGTCGGCCTCTTCCATCAACGAACCTGGTGAGCCCATTCCGAGCCCGACGCGTGTCTCCGGATATTTCGTGACAGACTCCCATGTGTGCCACAACGATCGGCTCCGAGGACATATGATCTAAATCTTTAAGATTCGAACTGCATCACTGATACTATCATATCAAAATGAGCCAAATATACGCAAATCTAACCTTACCAAAACTTCAAAGCGCATCAACTAAATTATTCAAAGTCATCTACTAGTGATGTGGTTAGTGTGACATGGTTCGAACCTAACTTACGGTATAGGAATCGAGATGCCTCTCCTACGCACACCTGAGGAAATTGATCACAATGATCCAGTTGCACTAAGGCCGTTATGGGTCAACCTACTTTCATATCTATAGCAAATCAATACCGAAGTTAATTTTATAAATATTTTGTTTCTTACATCTATCAGCTTTGATCCCAACGAAAACGAAGACATTCATGCTTAGAATCATGAAGGGATTACCCACACTTACTAATATAGCATAAGGGGAAGAAATTTGATCATCCGAGTTATAACAAAATCATCTTATATCTCATTATTTATAATAAACATACGCCAATATTTTGTACCTATGAAAGACAAATAAACATCTTATTCATCGTATCTCTAAAGTAAAATGTAATATGTTGTTCTTGTGGTGTAAATCGATTAACCAAAATATAGAGAAAGATTTCTTGTGTTCATATGTTAATCCAAAAAGGTCAACCTAGATAATGACCATCATGTCTCACAAAGCTTCAGATTGGATTCTTTATAATATATTACTATTAACACTAAATTGGAAGTCTCCTCCTACATTATATTCTAATATCTCAATTAGTACTAATTTATCTTTTTTATTTATCACTGAAATTTAGACTTTTTTTTTTCAAGTAAACCATCCTTCTTGAGAATCCACCAATCAATTTAGAGAAGATTATTTTGTAATCTCATTGATTTTGATAACTAGACACTCGTTCCATCCCATCTCATTATTTTATTATCTGATCGGTGTAAATATTATTATTATTATTATTATTATTATTATTATTATTATTATTATTATTATTATTATTATTATTAGGTATCGAAAAGATGTATTAGGCTGATATATCCAGCTTAATTTACACAAACTACATTCTTATATTCATTGTTTCAGTATAGAATTGGCATTAGGTTGACGTTTCATTTCAATAATGATTAGATTTCATGTTCGAGTTCACGTGAAAATATCTATCTTAGTCTAATGAATGTAAATTATTCTTTGTATTTGGTGAGGTGAGGACAGTTCTCTTTTGACTTTGCCACACATGCAAAATGACGAGAGAACTCGTGGAAAACGCCGGCCTTTTCCTTCACCACACTCTCATGTCGCTCGCAATTGCCAACGACTTGCCACCTTCTTCCTCTACAGAAGTATATATAATATGCCAACAAAGCGTTCAACAACAGTGCAACTAAATATTTGTTTCATTTTCATTACCATCCACCGATGTCGCATGTAAAACCCTAATTTAAAAAATCTTTTCAAAATTAATAAGAGATCATTTGATCTATCGATCATTTGTGTGGTCCGTAAATTCGTGAGGAATTATCCACTTTGGACGATGGACGTATCCGTCCGATTTTATCCTTTCAAAGCATAAGTTTGATTTAATTTCAATACCATTGTAAAGAAAAAAATAAAAATTTATATTTGAAAGGTAGTACGGTGAAATCAGACTTCTCATGAAATATTAGTTGTATGTTTTTTATATTGTTTCTATAAATATTCGATAAAATTTAATAGTAGAGTTGAAAGGTGAATTGCCACTAAATAAAGTTTAAACGATTAACCGGTGTCACGAAGTGGGACACGCACGCGCAGGCAACCTTAGGACATCTCAGAGGCCACGTGTTTCTCAAGCCCAGGACGTGAGCTTTCCTGACGCACGACTTGGCATACGACACAGGCTGTCGGTGCACCTTCGGGAAGCACGCTGCAGAAGCGTCGTGAACTAAGTCGTCGTTTTCGATATGATCCCTCGGCAATGATCGAGCACGAGGGGAGGGGGCCGCACGCGCTTCCGCCTCACTCCGCCCGCCACCCACACCAACGGGGCCACGCGGCGAGCTTGCTTTGGGTGTACTACAGTGGGCCCCACCTGGCACAGCGCGATGCGGCCCACCCCCAACCCACCACGTGCCACGTCCGGAGTTCCTGATCCGTGGCGGGCGTCCTGACGCCATCGGCTCGGATCTCGGCCGACAGTGCATCGGACGGTTCGTATCTTTTGAAGGGCAGTATCGTCATTCGATTTGACCTGTCGGTCGATGGGCTAATCCCTCAAACCACGGTTAAGTTTGACCAGAATTAAGCCGAGAGGAGGAGGAGGAGGCAGAGGAGCCCGACGGTATATTAATAAGCCAAGCCATCACAGGTGGAAGGCGCAAGAAAAGCAAAAGAGGTAGGAGGAGGAGGAGGAGAAAGATTGGATTTTGCAGCCATGGGGGAATCGAGCGGGACGGTCTCGGTGGATGTGGAGAGGATCTCGTTCGGAGGGAAGGTAGGAATTCACTGATTCAATGCTTATCACCTTTACCTCTCCGTTGCTTTGAGCTTTCTTGGGGTCGATTAATGATGGGGTGAAACGTAGAATGTGGCGTAAGTTTTGCGTTCCGAGCAGGTAAATTGCATTTCTATGAGTTTCCTATCTTTTCTCCTCGAGGCAATTGGTCGCTTGGAGAGGGATTAATCGTTCCCTGCGCCAAAATGCTTGCTTTAGGCTATGGCTGTTTCTTCTCATGGGAAAAAAAAAAGGAGTCTTTTTCATCCATTGCTTAATTCATTGTCTTATTTTGCTGCATTTGATGTTCTTTTCCTTTATGGGTTTCAGTTGTGTGTTTTGTTTGCTAATTTGTTTTTCCATTCTGTGTTGTTTTCTCAACATGATCGATCTTCTTATGCAGGTTTGCTGATGAAAGTTTTCCATTTCTTTTTCTCTTATGAAAAATTTGAAGGCTTTATCTTGGATGAGAGCTTGCTTTGCTTTCTATTAGAACAGTTTTCTTTTCCCTCGCGGAGTCTTTTTCCATTGTCTGTGTGTGTGTGTGTGTGTGTTTCAGACAAGGCGTCTTGTAAGTCTCCATCGTTGAACCTGCTATGACGGGAAAAGCACGCACTTGTTTTGCCTGTCGTTCTATTCATTGCTTAAGATAGAATCGTTTTTTTCTTGAAGCATCAGGCGGTAGGTTAGTTTCTAGCTGGGAAATATAGGCTTAGCTATACATACAGATATTACGAGTGACGTACCAGATTATACTCGATGATGATGCTTTGAGAATATTACTTCGTTAGTCTAATGATAGACAGCTCTAAATATGGGTAAGGTTTTGATTCAGTGTGCTAATTTTGGAAGGGATAGGCTATAATGGTACAGAAACGATTCCACAACATGAGATTTTCGTGTGTTTTTAGACATTTTCGACCAGTTTGGGGATTTAGCTATTGCCAGTTGTGGCACATGTCATTTGGAGTCAGATCACCTGTCAAATTCTTGTGGTTCTTATTTTTCTGATCTTGTAAGCTTGTGGGAGGCCAAATTAGATCTATTTTTCCTTTTTCGAAAATCTTATACATATCCAGTGTTCAATAACATCTCAGGGCATGCATGGTCTTGAATCATGCTATGCTATCTCCTTGTCATTTCACGTTTTCTTCACAAAACACACCTTTACCTTTCTTTAGCCTATTTCCTCCTTAACAATTACCTGTTACATATATATACATATATATATAAATATATATGCATATGTATATATATATATATATATATGTATATATGTATATATGTATATATGTATATATACATATATACATATATATATACATGTATATACATATATATATACATATATATATATGTGTGTGTTTGTGTGTGTATAAATGTATATATATATGTATATATATATATGTATGTATATATGTATGTATGTATGTATATATTGTGTGTGTATGTTACTTATATTCTCTTCTCCTTAGATGAATCTCAACCCAAAAGATGATTATTAACATTCCCACTATCAAGTCTGCTATAGTGAGGTCCTTGATTCTCATTATCTTTCTCAGCATATTTTTTTTCTGTCTAACAAAGTTGCTATATTTTCAAACCAAAAGTTGATTCTCATTCCCACTAACAAGGTTGCTATATTTTCTGTCTAATGTCATATTTTTGCTTTGATTTCTTTCTTCTTTGCCATTTACTTGTGCACATGCAATCACTTATTTAAATTATTAAGTCCTTTTTCTATAGTGTTTCTTTGTTTGCTCATCAGCACATTTATTTGTTTCTTCAGGAACATCATGTATTAACAAGCCATGGCCCTATTTCAGTTGCTGTTTATGGGGATCTAGAAAAGCCTGCACTTGTGACATATCCAGATGTTGCTTTAAATCGTAAGTTGTATGGCATCACACTTATTTGTTATTCTATTAGTTCAATCACATTCATTGTTAACTCAATGTACCACAAGATTTTTCTTTCTAGCGATCTTACTTGATGTCATATTTAGTTTTGCTTGCATCGAACACTCTATCACTCATTTCTAGAAATGTTGTGTTCTCCCTAGCTGACTTCCAGTAGTTGTGGCTTGTCATTGTTGTTCTTGTTGTTGCTACTATATTGTTCCTTTCTTGATTCTTTTCTTCCTACCATTTTTGTTTTGTCCTAATCATCTGGTGTGTTGATACCTTTGCCCTGCATGTTTGTGGCTAAGATGCAAGAATGTGTTCTTCTGAAACTTTGCTAATTCTGTCATTCACCATGCAATTGGTTTAACTTCTAATAGAAAAAAAAAAAAATGGACATAACTTCTACTCTTCTTGATTTGTTCAGATATGTCATGCTTTCAAGGATTACTTTTTTGTCCGGAAGCTTCTTCTTTGCTGCTTCATAATTTCTGCATATACCATATTAGTCCTCCAGGACATGAGGTCGGTAATTCCGTTGCAGCTTATGTTTTGACATGCGTTTATTAAACATGTCTGTGGTTCACATTCTGGATATTTCTTTAACATGATTTTGCTGGTCATCTACTCTAAGAATCCTGCAGTTAGGTGCTGCTCCAATTTCTGCAGATGAACCAACACTCTCTGTTGACCAGCTAGCAGATCAGGTGGCAGAGGTTCTTGATTATTTCGGGTAATCTGCTCTCTCTCTCTCTCTCACTCCCTCTCCTTCTCTTCTTGGCAGTATCTTTTGGTGAACTCAATGCTTACAAATCATAAGTTGTTTTTTCTACGCCACGGTCACTGTTTCATAACAATTTTTTTTTTCCATTTTTTTTTTAATTTGATCATTCCAGGTTAGGCTCTGCCATGTGCTTTGGGGTTACGGCTGGTGCTTATATTCTTACTCTATTTGCTGTAAGTGCTGCAATTGAGGCCCTTAACATATTAGCTTGTTAAACACTTAATTTAGAGCCTAAGAGCTTGTTTATGCATCTCTCAGACTAAATATAGGGAGCGTGTCCTTGGACTAATACTTGTCTCACCTCTCTGTAAGGCTCCTTCATGGACGGAATGGTTGTATACTAAGGTATGATTTGATATTGTAACCGATAATGTTCCAATCGTAATGGAGAGTTGGTGCTAATGATCAGATGTGAAATCTCAGGTAGTATCAAATTTACTATATTTTTATGGAATGTGTGGCTTGGTCAAGGAATACTTACTCCAACGATACTTCAGTAAGGTATGCTAGGAGCATTCACTCCTTGGCAATTTTTTTCTGCATCATGCTGTTCTTTATTCTTCTAAATGTGCCGCAGGAAGTACGAGGAAGTTCACAAGTTCCTGAGTCAGACATTGTACTAGCCTGTAGAAGTGTTAGTAACTCATCTACTGTTTGTTTCCCTTCTGAAATTTGATCGAGATATATTCGGATTATTTTCTCACAATATGTTTATTTTACAATCTGCAGTTGCTTGATGAGAAGCAGAGTGAAAATGTTTGGCGATTTCTTCAGTCAATTAATGGGTATACCCTTACTCTCTTAGCTCTGGAAATTATTAGATCTACTATAGACAATGTAGTGAAGAATTCATAGTGCTCTGAGGCTTAAACAGGAGACATGACTTGATGGAAGATTTGAAGAAACTGCAGTGTCGGACTCTAATTTTTGTAGGTGAGAACTCTCCGTTTCACTCAGAAGCCCTGAACATGACCAAAGAACTAGACAAGAGATACAGCGCATTGGTAGAGGTATTCTACTTGATCGAATCATCTCAAACCATCTTGCATCCTTCTTTACGGTGAAATCCTCCTACCATCGACATTTATCTGGGATCTATTTCTCATCCTCTCATGGTTGTCTTGGCATCCTTGTCAAAACGCTGCAGGTTCAAGCATGTGGCTCGGTCGTGACAGAAGAGCAGCCCCATGCCATGCTGATCCCCTTGGAGTACTTCCTCATGGGGTACGGCTTGTACAGACCGACCAAGCTGAGCTACAGCCCGCGGAGTCCTCTCAGTCCGTTATGCATCTCTCCCGAACTGCTGTCGCCCGAAAGCATGGGACTGAAGCTAAAGCCCATCAAGACTCGGATCTCCCTTAAAGTCTGAGAAGATTAGTATCAAGAAACATACGACTTGTCGATAGGCAGAGGCACAATTTTGCCAAACAATGTAAAGCATCATGTACCTCCTATACAGACACAGTTTCTTGGCTCATTAGTGTAGGATTGTAGATATCATCGAGAATAAACGAGCTTATTAAGGGCTGTTATCGAAATTCATTTGTCCTCAAATAACTTGTGTAAATCGATTTTTTATGATGACCAAAGTAATGAAGTGTTGCCCTCAATCATTAGCTTCAGCTTTTAAGATCTGCCAGAGGTAATGTTTGTCTCATTTCAATATTTCCAGATATGAATCAAGACTCAGTTACATGCTCAAGCTATGCAGTGTCGAACCAAAACAGCCTGGTTGTGTGATTCATGAACAAGACAATGTTGCTACTTTTCTATTGCTTTCCAGTCCAAACTCTTTGTCATGGATTGGACAATCTCTGGGGATCTAACAAGATACAGTGTGGATTCTGAATCACATATGTGAGAGACAACTAATGAAAGCAGATACTCTTCTGGCCTGCCCTAATGCATCGGTTACAGACTTCGACAGAGTTCACTAATACTAATAGGCAAAGAAAGGAGATGATTCAAGTGAATCGGGAAACCTTAATATTAAGAACATAATAAGCTGCTGAGGAGTGGGAAGATTGGTTTCTTGGTCTCACCTTTTTCCCTCGCAGATGTTCTATTTCATCTCGACTTTAATATGGATTTCTCTTTTGGTAATCTTGACTCGATTTTGATTAGACACCGAGACAATCTAAAAGCTTAAAGATCTTCCCTTGGTAGATCGACACTGCCATGGCCTTCGAGGTTTCCTAGCAGCAGCAACTCCCACGTAAAAACGAAACAGAGGATTGCAGAGGAGACCTCCGAGTAGGGAAGTCCCTTTCTGGTTTGTTAGTAGCAGTTAAGAGAGCCTGGAAAGAGGGGCTGCTCACGCACACAGTCCCAAAGACTAGATTCTGATGCAGTGTCACATGTCTCCCAAGGTCTGCTCACATGTCTCCTGTGCCTCCCCTCACCTTTCTACTTTCTTCTTCTTCTTCTTCTTCTTCTTCTTCTTCATCCTCCTCTTCTAACCCATGCCTTCCACAGATCTTTCATCGGCGGGCACTGGAAAATCTTGTACAGATGCGCATCAACAATACCTTCTTAGTGAGATGAAGGATAAGGAAAGAAACATGGGGTTTATCTCAAACTACAGTACAGCAAACACCAAGGTTAAAAGATACGAAGAGTTCAAGTGAAACAACAGAGGCAGCATATGAAAGAGGGAACCGACGCAGTGCATGTTAGCGTCATCAGGTCCGACCTGACGCAGTGCATGGTTCAGCGCGCGAGGAGGCCATGGCCACCGCCGCGAGCTTCTGCAAGTTGAGCTTGACGACGGTGTCGGTGAACATCTTGGTGTCCTCCTCGGTGTTCCCCTCCGGGATGTCCACAACGTAGGACTCGAGGACGAGGGTGTAGGCCTTACCTTCCCGGTGGAGCTCGGTGACCGACGTGACGGAGCGGTAGTTCCTGAGCCGGTGCTCCCCGCCCATGACGCAGAAGCTGAGGACGTGGCGGTCGTCGTCCAGGATCTCCAGCCGCTCGACGCTGGTGGACGCCGGGAGGCCCGATACGACGGTGACCTCCCGGACGCTGCCGACGCCACCATCGCCGCGGACGAGGCGGCAGCTCTTGATGAAGTGCTTGTATCGCTCGGGCCGGTCGAAGCTACGGACGACGGGCCACACGGCGCACAGCGGGGCGTCGATGCGCTGCGTGATGAGGGAGGTGCACGTACCCGGCGCACGCGGGAAGGTGTGGTGCGCTCGGATCACCGGCTCCAGCTCTGCCATCTCCTCCTGTGTCAATCCCTGGGCAGGGTGGCAGTTCGGCTCCATGGCTTCTCTCCCTCCCTCTCTCTCTCTCTCTCTCTCTTCTTTAAGGAAGATGGAGAGCGAGTCGGAGGGAGAGAGAGAGAGAGGAGT